TGGCCCTTGGGCCATGTCTGGGCCTTTTTGGTTTAGCTTTGGGCTAACTATGCTGTGGGCTGTGTTTATAATCTTGTTAATATATATTTATAAATTTACTTGAATTTTCAGAAAAAAAAAAAAAAAAAAAACTTCATTTAAAAATAGTAGTGTGTGTCAATCATAAATAAAAGAAAACTTTTTTAACAATATATATATATATATATATATATATATATATATATATATATATATTTCCGTTTAACAATATAATTATTATATAGTAGGAATAAGATGCCAAAGAAATGTAGAAAACATAGTATAAAATTAATAGTAATCATATTTTAATTTAAAAACTATTAACTAATATAAAAAATAATTTAAAATGTTAAAAATTCAAGATATAATTATTATATAGTAGGAATAAGATGCCAAAGAAACGTAGTATAAAATTAATATATAGTAATCATAATTTAATTTAAAAGCTATTAATTAATATAAAAAAATAATTAAAATGTTTAAAAATTCAAAATATCATACTCATATTAATAACAAGATGTGAAAAAAAGTAAAAATAATAATTATTACATAGTAGGAATAAGATGCCAAAGAAATGTAGAAAACGTAGTATAAAATTAATAGTAATCAAACTTTTATTTAAAAACTATTAACTAATATAAAAAATAATTTAAAATGTTAAAAATTCAAAATATAATTCTTATATAGTAGGAATAAGATGCCAAAGAAACGTCTACTTAGGATAATATTAATATTAATCATAATTTAATTTAAAAGCTATTAATTAATATAAAAAATAATTAAAATATTAAAAAATTCAAAATATCATACTTATATTAATAACAAGATGGAATGAAACGTTAAAAAAAAATAATAATAAATAAATAAATAAATTACTCATATTAATAAAAAGATAGAAGGAAATGTAATATATATATATATATTGTATGAGTTTATAGGAATCATTAAGTAAGGAAACATATAAAAATATAATTGTTATATAAGAATAAGATGGAAGAAATCTATTTTAATTAGATATGAATCATAAGGTGCTTAAGAAAAAAAATTCAAAAATATTAAGAAATTTTCTACACGTTTGAGATATAGATATAATTTTTTATAGCTAGTTTAATATTAGGTAGTTTTTTTTTTTGCCTTTTTTCGTTTAGTTTTCTTATGTTATAAATTTTCTTAAATAGTTTTCCTAATGACTAAATTTTTATTTATTATAAATACCAGGTGCGCCAAACATAGAATTAATGCTATTCAGTGTTTTATTAGGATTTAATTTCGCTGGCAGATGATGAAGGCCACTCCTCGCTTTTCTCTCATCTGGCAATCCCATCATCATCCCAAAGTCTCTGGCATTTTCTTCAACCCTAGATCTCGAACTGAAACCATCAAATACATTCCTCTCACTCACTCCGACAACTTGGGGAATCAATGTGATATTGCAACTGTTATTAATGGTGGAGGAGAAAACAATTCACCACCTCTCTTTATGTATGCTAGAATCATAGACTCTCGTAATGGTTTTCTACTCTATCTTTTTTAATAAGCAGAGCCGTAGTTCCGGATGGTGGAGTCGGTCGTACCACGTTTATAATCCTACTACCAAGCAATTCTTTACTCTTCCGTGGCATTTTCCGGTCACTTTATTTGGTTTTCGATCATTTAAAATCACTTCACTACAAAGTTGTTTTGGTTCAAGCTTCAGAGCATGGTGATCCCTACTTGTATCAAATACATATTTACTCGTCGGAAACCAATGAGTCGCGGAGATCACCACTTGGTGATTTTCATCCTTCCCCGAAATCATTAAATAGTGTGGACTTGAATAAAGGAGTCAATTGCGATGGTTCCATCCATTGGATTTCTTACCGCACAAACAAAACTTCTTTATATTTCTTTATATTTCGATGTCGATCAAGAAAGATTTTACCCAATGTCATCTCTGCCATGTAACTATGCAGTTTTTAGGTTCTTTCATTTTGGGGAGTCCGGAGGTCATTTGCATTATATTAGATATTATGATGATATGGGATTCAATGTCAACATCTGAGAAATGGAAAGTAATTACTCCAAGTGGACAACCAAGTATCGAGTTTGCCTTAACACGATGGTTGCTGATCTTGCACTTGAGGTTGTCTACGAGGATACAACGCTTAGTTTAATCCGTGAAGATGAAGGGGATGCGGTTTTGGTACTTGTTGTACGCACCGAGATGAATTATATGATCATCTCCAAGGAGAACACCTTTAATAAGCGTGTTGTACTACGCGAATATACACTCTTATATCCATAGTTACAATGAGTGTCACTTTCCTGTTTGATACATTCTAATCACTTAGGGTTGGGTGGTGTTCTCATTGTCACTTCAACTCTGATCTTAAAATTTATTTACTTGACATTATATTTATTAATACTATTTTAGTTGTTTTATGTCCATCAATTTTATTATATTAATATTATTTTGTTTTATGGTATCCATTGATCACTTGGACTGTAACTATTTCCTAGAGTTCTCAGGTGTCTACCTTGCTTGCGTTGCTATTATACTACTTTACTCTTGGTATGCTTTTTAAATCTGATTTAGTTTATTTATTTATTATTTTTTTTATTTTAACACTGCATTGTGAATTGACTAATCCTCTCTAGGATGGTGTTGTTGAATTTTAATTGACATTTGTTCTTACCATGTAAATAAGATTAACAAAAATAAAAAAAAAAAATTTCAAAAACAGAACATTAGAACATACGGTGTACGTAAAGAAAGACCAAATCCGCTAGTAAATACTAAAAAAAAAAAAAAAAAAAAAAAAAGAAATAGACTAGATAACAGTTCATTACCCCCACATCTCCAGAGCCCTTTAATTTTTTCAAATAGTAAAGATGTGGCAGCAGAATAAGACTCGAATTCTGATGTGGCTTTCACTGAGGAAAATTCTACCATTTTAAAAGGACCAATTTACCCTCAAAAAATCATACAAACCCTTCCATATTTTTTCTCAAAATTCTTCCTTAATTGAAAAGTATACAAAAATTGGCAATTAAAAGGCAACATAATTTCTTTTTTAAATTTGAATTTTTTAAAAAAAATTTTTACTTACTTCGAGAATACGAAATATCCTAAAATAATTTTTTAAGACAAAATTGTTATAGTTAACGTACTCAAATTAAAGACCTATGAATGCTTTTAATGTGTGAGAACATTATTGCCCTCTATTCAATTCACAAGAATTTAATTATAAGAGACATTTACGTCATTTAGTTTAAGAGAATGATAATGCATTTATCAGCTCATTATATATTATTTTGATTCCACCACCTACTTACATGAAAATTTCATAAAAATATAAGGGTAATTTCTGAAAAGTTTACTCATTCTTAATTTATATATATATATTTAAGGCCTCAACTATTGTTTATACGTGCAACATGTTGTCCAAATAGTGCTGAAAGATACAACCACTTAAACTAAAGTTAAAAACAAATATCATATGCGGGGTTTTATATATATATTTTTAAGGCCTCAACTATTGTTTATATATGCATCATGTTGTCATACAACCACTTAAACTAAAATTAAAAACTAAATAATAGTAAAAGGGAATTTTTTTTACAATTTGACTTTCTTTTTATTTATTTTTATTTTATATATATATATTATCACTATTAAAATCACAAATACAAGCCATTTCAAGTATTAAAACAAAGTTCTGTTGTGCACTCGGAACAACCTCAAATCAAAACAAATGTTAATGATAGAATAAAGGACCCGGGTGGACTCGAACCACCATCCTCTCAAATCATGCCGATCTGAGCGCTCTTACCAATCTTGAGCTAACGGATCTACATAGCCAGTCATCCATAAGAAACAAAAATTTATCCCTTTTTTCCCTCTCTAATACTAGCCCCAACCAATAGATTCCATCGGACTCTAAATTAGGGGCACAAAAAACCGTTTTATAAATTATTTATATTTTATTATAAAAATTATAAAACAATAACATTTTAACCATTCAATATAAAATCATAATATATATATATAATAAAAACTTATTATATATATATACAATCACATTTTACATTATTTTATATAAAAAATATATATTAAAATGAGTTATAAAGAGTCTACAACAGTAACAAAACGATTTGATGATCTAAAATTAAATATCAAACAACAATAAAAGAAAAAATCGAGTCTCACATTTACATTAACAGAAACAATAAAAATAAATTGCTTTTCTAAAAAAATTCTGTATCGTATTATGTTTAATAAGATGTAAAGCTCTTTCCAAGATAGAATCTGCTTCAGACGAACATTTGGCTTTTGATTGTGTGAATATATTTGAAGAAATTATAGTCATCATGCATTTCTACATAGCAAAGCTATACATAAAATTATTTACCCCAAATTAAATGCAATTAGCCATATTTATGAAGTTTGTTCTGATATAATCTCGAGACTTGCTACTATCTTTTATGCAATTTCAATTCCACAATAATATAGTGACAAATCAACATCTCCTAATCAATCTGGAAGTATTCTTACAATCTTTATAGCCATAAACTAACCTAGTGATTCAACACCCTATATACCACAACATTTCGTCCTATCAAGAATTACTAATTTATGACAATAGATTTAAGAGGATTTTTTTGTTTGGATGGTCACTCTAAAAATATAGAATTTATATTACATAAAAACAGTTAATTAACCTCACAATAGGGCTAATTGCATTTAACTTGGAAACTAAAAATACCTGATAAAAAAATAAAAATAAAAATAAAAATAAATAAAAATAAAAAACTCATCTCATCTGTCACAAGTTCATCTATCTACCTAAGATAGGTTGTTAGATGGGTTGTTAGCTAGTTTTAGTACCTCAATTGCATGATAAATGCATATGTAATCAAAACTAAACATAATAATCATCCTAATGCATACCAAGTACAAATAAGATCTACTAAATACTAGAAACAAACAATTCTGCTATCACCTCGATTGATCATATAAAAGCTTGTAATGCCCAAACTATCCAACTACTTGTTGAACAGCTCCACCATTTGATCCCACAGCTAAACACTTGCAGAGCTTTGCGCGTGTGTCTCACAAGGTATTATATGATACAATACAAGAACTTCCAAATATAATCAAAATCAGTTCTCTATTAAAAGTATACCTCTCCATAAAACATATAGTATATGATACAATACAAGAACTTCAAAATATAATCAAAATCAGTTCTCAATTAAAAATATCCCTCCATAAAACATATAGTATATGATACAATACAAGAACTTCAAAATATAATCAAAATCAGTTCTCTTATCAAAAATATACCCAAAGAAATATAGCAAATGGAGACTGACTTGACTGAAATGAATTAACATAAAGGATTGGCATGAAAACAATTGTACCAATGCAATTGTAGTCGTCGCGAGTCTGATGAGTTTCTTTGACGAGAGTGCTACAGAAAGGATTGGCATGTCCTCCAAGTTCATGAATAAACATCTGACCAGTACTTCCTCGGCTCTCCAGCTCTGCCTTCACCACAACCGGACCGCTGCAGGCATTGGTCATCTCCAAGAAGCAAAAACATATACCCCGCCAGAATACAAGCCAAAGCAAACTTTTTCTTACATATAAAACACATATCAACCTAATGTTACACTACAAATACTACGAACTGGATTACACTTTGCGACAATTGCTACTCAATCAGTATAAGTTCTTATTCAGTTCACCATTGCACAAGGATATTCGGAACAAATTTCAAGCTTGCCAAAGAAACATAACAAATGGGAACATAAACTGGCATTAATAAACGGAAAGAATTGGCAGTAATTAACAACTGTACCATGCTATGCTATTGTATTGGACGTAAAGTTTAAAAATTTTGACAGCTCTCGTTTTTAAGTTTATGCATCTACCCAGATTTGAGAGAGACAGCCACCGTACAAATCATGAGTGTCCATTGGGAGCCAATTCTGTATTACTATAAATTTCGGACACTTTTATATACTAGACTTTTAACTATTTATAATAAATTATATATTTCAAATATTTTGAAATTGGTCACAAAATTTATACAGATGAGGCCTATTAAAACCAAAAATGTTTGATTTACCGCATATAAAAAACACTCCAACATAATGGATGTATGATGATTAACACGGTTAAGGACTTGGATGCATATCAATAAAATTCTGCAATTTGAAGAACTAAATTGAGACTTCACTTTCGTTGAATCTAGTAATAACTTATATTAAAGTGTATTGAAAAAATAAATTTTTTATCTAATCATAATTAATGAAATAATGATTCATAAATTAAAGTTTTTTTTTCAGGGTTAAATTAAAGCTTGTGTACCTGAAGATGTATCGTTGCTTTGATCATGAACCTTCATATTGCTGAAATTGTTGCTATTGTTGCTCGTGCGAGATTGAGATACCAGGAGACAAAAGGAAATATGGAAAAGCAACACAAAGACACACAACACACAGTGGAGGAGACCCCGGGCAAAATCCCCGTGCAACCTCCCCCGGAAACCAAAAAAATGAATAATTTTATTAGGGTATGGGTGACCTGCCATGCAAGCGCACCTGTCATGGCAAAGGTCGGTGGATCACACAACATCAATGAATGAATCCTGCGCCATCCTTCCTGATGCCTTTACATCATCCAAACACAAAACCAGCTATCCCATCATCATACACTTGATATGATTAGTCTTCAGCTTACGCATCTATACGACTTAGCAACCTTGAATTCACAATCATTCGGAACTCCAAGCCACCATAGATAGATGCCCACAAACAGCCATATGTATAGGTCTTCGTGTGACACTCATCATGTGGTGGTTTCTTGAGAATTCAGACGAACACATCAAAATCGCCATATCTGTCCCTGTAAAAACCGAATAGAAATACCAAGAAAAATAACACAAACTATAAAATTAAAATAGCAAGATCCGTCACAAATGGACAGAAACTCACAAACAAATAAAAAAAATAAAAAAAAAAGACAAAAAAAAAAGGGAATTATACCAGAAAAGAAGGATAAAAAAAGGAACGACAATACCTTATATATATATATGTATATATCAGATCTACAGGAAAAAAGTCAAAATCATATGATTTTTTAGTAAATACATATCAAAATTGTAAAACTAACAAAACTAACAACAGATCTATATAAAAAAACATAAAAAAGACAATATATCAAATAATTTTCAAATCAATACCTTGTAAATATAATTTTTCTAATCAATACCTTGTAACAGATTTACAAAGTTACCGATATTTTAAAATCATAACACAAATTTAACGAAAATCAATACCTTGTAACAGATCTACAAAGTCGATATGATCAAATCCAAGATATAAAAAGATAAAATAGACGACGCTTATACGTATAATGATAGTGCGAGGAAAGGCCTTTTTATAGAAGGTTTGGGAGTATTGGATGGATGAGATTGATTGTCTAGAAACAGATCGACGGATGAAATATAATCAAATTGAGTGTGTCGGTCGGTTCCCACGATTTTTCGTTGGGGCGGTTTGGTATGAGGTGGCAACTTTTGTTTGACAAATGGGTGGTCGACATGTGTTCGAACGCTGTCCATTCAAAATGGGACATTTTCAACGTTAGCGTGGCCTCGTTAAACACGCCACCTGCAAGTTGCCAATGTGTTGGCATCTCTATCTTTTGCTGTTTGTTTCTCGGAATTATTCCACTCCTGGTCCGGACTATGAGACTCTTCCTTTTTTGTCTTTTCCAGTTTTGTATGGTTGGCTGATATAAATCGGAAAAAAATTCTTTTTACAATTTGAAATTGTTCTTGTAATGTTAAAAGTGTTTTTAATAATAGAAATGTTATAAAAGAATTATTAGTAAAAAGCAAAGTTGTTCAAATCGGGATTCTATTTAGAATCGTTTTGGGCTTCTTAAAATCGGAATCGTAGAATCGGATCGTGAATCGTAAGATTCTACCAAATTATAAAAAAATAATTGAAACTAACTTCCTAAACAATATGTAAAATATAATCAAAATAAGGCCAAAATATGTAAAATATATCCATGACTTCAAATCTCAAATCCTAACAATATTCTAAAGTCCGAATATAAATAAAAGTAAAAGAAAATATTTTAAAGTCTGAATATAAATAAAAAAAGATGTAACACAAAATTGATCACATCATTCATTGTTTGTCCTAGAGTTAAGGTTCTATTTGATATTCATTTCCCTCCAAATATGATACACATCACTAGCTGAGGTTAGCTTCCAAATCATGACCCTGCGTCTCTTTAATTTTTGTTTCCAATTTAAAGATGCCCAAATTAAAAAATCTTTCCAAAGAGTTAGGGCATATGTAGAATCCGCATTTGTGGTGAAGTCCACTTCGTATGATTTTGGAATATTCACACTGATGAAACAAATGTCTATATTACAAATCAAATTCATTTTGTCACATACTTTTAAGTATTGCAATGTTACACTTTTTTTTCTTACTCACTTTTTTTTTCTGCTTATTTTTCCCTTTCTATTAATTTTTTTCATAAATAGTGATTTGCGCACTCATCCTCTGCACTCATCCTCCGCATTATTAATTTTTTTAGTTTCATAAAATCACTATTTCAGTTTCATAAATAGTGATTTTTTGCTTATTTTTCCCTTTCTATTAATTTTTTCAGTTTCAGTTTCTATTAATTTTTTCAGTTTCATAAATAGTGCTAAAAAATAGTGATAAAAATTTAAATGGCCAGGTAAAATTAAAACAAAAACTAAAGAAATTGGAAAAGACAGTCAGAAGACTCAGAACTTAAAATTAAAACTAAAATTAGACCATTAATGCAAAAGATTATCAAAACATGATGAATAATTTCTAAGAACAAGTAGATAAAAGGTTAGAATAATCAAGGTTAGAACAATCTTAGAATAATCAAGCTCCGAAGGGTTATAGAGATTAGAAAAAACTCTAGAAATTTCTTGATCAAGGAAGAACATACCTGGCCGAACCTGTAAGCTGCTATATGGATTCGATGATTCCGATCTGCTCGTTATAAGCCTCTGCACTACCGCCTCCTTTCAGTCCTCACTCCTCTCCTCTCTGAGATAGGGTCCCCGTTTCTAATATTATAATAGAGTAGGTTTTGTATTTTATGATTTATAGAATATATAATTTAGTAAATTTCTATACAAAATTTGGGACAGGCTTTGGCCCAAACAACTAAAAGAATAAAGGCCCAAAGACCAAATAGTATAAAAGCCCGCCCAAACACACATTTTGGTAGAATCGGTAGAATCATGTAGAATCGTACGATTCTACGATTCTACCAACGATTCTACCGATTCTACCCCCGATTCTACCAATTGGGCGATTCTGATCCGATTTGAGTCAATTTTAAGAGCTGAGTCGTAGAATCGTGCGATTCTACGACTCAGAATCGCGATTTTGATAACCATGGTAAAAAGCAATTAAGTATTTGATGATACATTGAATGAAGTAATTTTTATATTTGAATGCTTCTATAATTATTTGCCAATAATATTATTTAAAGTATTTTTATTATTAATTTTATTATATTACCTTTACATTAAACATATAATAATTTCTTAATATTAAATATTACAAAATTTTATTGAGTTCAATGAGTTATAAAGATGAACTTGTATGTTCTTTTTTTAAAAAAATATCACATATTTTGTTTATGATATCAAATTTGTATTAAGTACTAAAATATAAATGAATTAAACATATTTTAATGATGATTTTTTTGTATCTGATTGGGGATCTTTTAGAATAAAATAAACAAATTTGCTTATATTCTATCTAATAATGAAATTTAATAATATAATGTTTTGCAATATATATACAACATATCATAAAATAAAACTAAACACTCTACCCACAATAAATAATCTATTGAGATGGGAAGGCGGCTGAAGAGTCCAAAATAAACTAGAATCTTTATTTATTACTGAGTCGCACGCATTGTTTGCTATTTGTTTATAGAAGCCTAGGAGGGATAAAATTGTATTAATAAAAAGAGGATTGCAAAAGGACAGTTGCTTCACAGGCATTCTTCTTATTAGTTACTTTAAGTCTCATTAATTACTCTTTCTCTATTATGAAGAATGTGAAAAATATAATCTACTTTAAAACAAAACTCACCTTTTTAAAAATAAAACTACCCTTTAAATCATTTTTCATTACCATTCTTGTATCTCCTCTCTCAATTACGTGTCGTGTATATATATACACACACATATTACTGCCTTTGGTTCTTTCCTTTTTATTTCAATTGTTTTTTTCCTTCCTTTTTTTTTCTAAATTGTTGCCATTAGGCATTAGCCTTTTTTCCGTCCTTCCTTTCATTTTTTTTTTTTTTTTTAAACCAGAACAAATAAGAATAGGAGAATGTTCAGCAAATTTAGAAAAAAATATATTAAACCAAATTGTTATTAAATTTTAAACCAGAACAAATAAGAATAGGGGAATATTCGCCAATTTAGAAAAAAATTTAAGAATAGGGGAATGTTTGCCAAATTTGTTATTAAACCAGAATAATTTTAAAAAAATAGCAAAAAACAAAAAAAAAAAAAAAAGGAAAAAAAATGAAAGGAAGGACAGGAAAAAATATATATAAAAAAATAAAAAAATAACTAGTGACGACAATTGAAACAAAAAGAAAAGAAATAAAGGCTATATATACTACACCTATATGAATTGATGGAGATACAAGGTAATGAAAAAGGATTTAAATGATAGTTTTGTCTTTAAAATGTGAGTTTTATTTTAAAATAGGTTATACCTTGAGAAGAGCGACTTAACCTACTGTCCTTAGCATTCGTCTTAATAGAAAGAGCAAATTACACTGATCTCTCTTGAGGTTTCTTATTTGTCAAATAAGAATGACCTCCCTCGAGGTTTGTATACCTATAACAAAAGACTTCCCCTCCATTAACACAAAATACCGTTACTAACCAAAAATAATGATGTCATCAATTTTTTATTTTTAAATTCCTACTCTACCCCCTTAAAGAAATGTAAATAAATTAACTAAAATATCTAAAATACCCTCATAATTATTTATCCTCCCTTCTCTCAAATTCTCTCTCCAACGTCTTTTCTCTCCTCTCTTCTCTCTTTTTCCTCCATCAAAACCAAAACATAAAACGTAAAGCGCCATATCAATTCTGTCCCAGTTGGCTGGAAATGGTTCCGTTGCCGGTACAAACTCCTTGATGTCCCATGCACGCCGTTGTTCATCACTGGTTTATTTCCAAGCCGCTTGCTCGCCGGGAAAGAGATACCCATTTCCTCGCCGGCATTTCCTTGCTCCACTGTTGATCCGTCCGCTTCACTACCGGACATCTCTGTCTACGCCGAACTGAACAACCAAACTAGTCATTGCAGTCATCAACATCACAACCAAGCTTTCAACGCCGTTAAGTCAAGCCGCCGGCATCCTTGCTTGTCGCCACTGTACCTCATTTTACTGCCGTTGCCGAACAGCCCCGTGCCGTTCTTCTTGCACCCGCGAGCAGTCCAAATGCACCAGCACCGGGCCGATTGCTTTGAGGAATACTGGTATAAAAAATGTGGTGGCTAATACCAATGCGAAACAAGAAGGAAGAAATACAAAGTGCTTATGACCATCTTAATAAATTATTCTCATATATTTCGAATATTCCCAATATCTCAAATTGGGAGCAGTCCGATGACGAAAAACTCCATTAACTAGGGCACTCAACCAGTGATTGTTCAAAACTCAGACCAGACACAAAATCGTCTAGTGTGGTTCCATGGTCTGTGGACTGCAAAAATTTTGTTCTTGTGCTGAGAGTGTGAATTTGTGATTATCGTGAACAACAGGTAGAAAGGATTTGTTTATGATCTGTTTCGGTTCATCAGAATCCGGAAAACTAAGCTCCACCATCAGATCGGTAGCGGTAGAGCTTGCCGAAAACGTGGAGGGAGATCTTGAGTCCGACGGGTTTCGACATCTCATGCTCTGCAACGGCGAGGGGCAATTACAGAATATGAAAGAATGTCGTGATTCAGGCAGAA